CCGCCATTGGCATTAATATCAGCCTTCTTGTTGATGAGGAGAGTAATAATCCCGCCGTGGCCGTGAAGCGACGCAAGCTGCAAGGCAGTTGGGAACCTTCGGTTTTGCGCATTGACATTGGCGCCATGGTGCAGTAAGAGCGCGACGATCCTGTCATGACCTTTTGTTGATGCAAGCTGGAGGGCTGTTGCAAACTTCTCGTCTTGTGCATCAAGGTCAGGATGCCTGTCAAGTAGAATTCGCACAATGTTCTCATGGCCCTGTGCCGCTGCTGCCTGCAGGGCGGTCCCGTAGCCTCTCCCACGCGCATTTATATTTGCGCCTTTATGAAGTAGAAGTTGTACAATCTTCCCGTGGCCATTTGCTGCAGACGATTGCAGAGCTGTTGCAAAGCCCCCACCTTGAGCGTCAACATCGGCATCTCTATCCGCGAGCAGCTGGGTAATCTTTTCATGGCCATTCGCTGATGCTAGCTGAATAGCTGCTGCAAATCTTCCGTCGTGCAAATTGACGCTGGCATTCCTTTCCAGCAGCAGCTGAACCACTCTTTCACGGCCATAGAGAGAGGCTGCTTGCAGGGCTGTTCCGAAACGCCCAATCTGCGCATCAGGATCGGCACTCTTATCGAGCAGAAGTCGGACTATGCAGGCATATCCTCCAGCAGATGACTGATAAAGTGATTTGTTCAGCAACATTCGGAATCGGCATTCGCAATCTAGCCAATGAGAAGAAAACTTCTTCTTCAAAGCCCCAATGGCCATTTCCGCTGTTCTTATCTTTCCTTTCCTTGCCGCCCAAAGTAATGCAACTGGGTTCTCGCTCCTTCCATCGCTGCGATACAGAGCATCCTCAGTTATATATTGGGCGAATCTGCTTGTACAGGCAAGTAAGGCTTGATCCCTTGGTATAAGAAAAGAAAGTATCAGGAAGTAAACTTCGGGAGGAAGGTCAAAGAGGTGCATCTTCTGTACCGTGATACCAGTCAACGACGTAACCAGTACACATCAAATTGATGAATCTTTTTGGAGATAAATGTCAAGTGTGCCCTTAAAACAATTTGATTAACTGGCGGTTTGCATTCCATTTTTCGTGATCTCTTTGAATGGTCAAGTTTTTTGTTGGACTTGTACAGGCTACATCTCCCCACGTATAAATGTTGTAAAGAGCATCTGAAAGAGACAAGCGTAAAAAGCTCTTCATCTATCACACTAAGCCGAATTTTACTTGAGCGGTATTACAACCCGTTGTTTACATCTGCAATAGCACGATTCATTGACCGGCCATGCCGCCTCCCACCAACAGCACCCTGGCTGACATTGCAAGAAACATGAAATAGTATGGGGCCTGCAACCTTTCGCCCTGCAGTTATTTCACATATGCCCCACACTTTAAGA